TGGCCCGGCCCAACCTCTGGGGCCGCCGTGAGCGTCACGGGGGCAGCCGAGCGTGACCACCGACGCCTCCTCACGCCATCTTCGCCTCTCGCTAAAGGGAGGCCCCCATCCAGGAGCCCATTCTTGAAGCTGCTCGGACGCCACGGCATCGGTGGCAGGCAAGCGGGGACTCACCAGCAGCAGTCGGCATCCGGCCGATGGACGTCCCGACAGCCATTTCCTGCCTCGGGGCAGTGAGGCATCCAGCTGGACAGCAGCTACCACGCCAGGTAGGGACCTGGAGCAATCGAGTGTGTCACCGCGCGGTGCCAGGACAGCCACCAGGTCGCGTTTCGGGAGAGCCGCCAGGCATCTCAGATGCCGATCGCCTTCGGAGCCGCCCGAGCAGACAAAAGATTGGGTAGTTACCCGAGCCAAACCGAATGCGGATGAAGCTAGAGCCGTGGCCATCGAAATCCGAGGAACCGTCGCGGCACTGGCGAATGCCAAAGACCAAATCACGGGCATCGAGCCCCGAAGTGCTGCAAGGACTCAGATTGTAAAATCCTTTGCCTCCCGCAACTGACATGGCATCGTGAAGTCCAACGCGCGGGGTGTGACGAGGCGACCAGGGGAGATTCGCAGCCGTCCGAGTGGCAATGGACCCACCCGACGCTGCAGTTCACGAGCAGGGCTCATCTGATCCATGGACCAGCGGCACAGATTGTTTCACCAGATGCGATCGCAGCAGACTTAAGTCGGGCCTGTCCCTCTACAGAGGGAATATTCAAAAATAATCAAAAAATAGTCTGGGGACGATTTTTTTTTACTATTTTTGAATATTTGGGGCATATGTTTCCATATGTTTTATTTTTCGTCGAAAACCCCACTGTAGGGGGACACGCCCGACTTAACGGCAGACCCCCGCGCAGGGGTGGCCACCTGGCAGCCCCGGCGTCGCTGCCCCGCCGACTCGCCCGGGCGGGGTGGCCATCGGGCCGCGCCTCCCGGCACTGCTGCCGCCGCCGTCCAACCAGCATTGAGTCGGGCGTGTCCCCCTACAGGGGGAGTATTACCAGTTTGAAACCTATCCCTATCCCTGTGTTTGGCATCCCCTCGCCTCGATGCCGATCGTGAGGATCCCTCGGTTCCTGAGAGCACATCCCTAAGATCGTCCTCGCTGTTTGCGCGCCCATCGTAGGGATATGGACATGTTCGAGGCTGGTTAGAATATTCAAAAATAGTCAGACAATAGTCTGGGGACGATTTCCGGAATCCCCCTGTAGGGGGACGCGCCCGACTTAAAACCAGCAACAAGGGCCGCCCAGCACACCACCGCCAGCGAAGAAGCAGCGCCTTGGCATCGCTCGGACGTGTGCATTTTTCCTTCGGCGAGGACCATCGAGGAGCATCCTTGATCATTTGGCGGAAAAACCACGCACGACACCGAACAAAAACACAGGGAATGGATGTCCGAGCGATGGCGAGAGCGCGGCCACGGCGTGAACGGCACGCGCCAGCGTTGAGTCCGCGTCGTTCGGCGCGCCGCCGACCTTCCCGAGAATGGGCGACGGGCCGACGACCAGCGCGGGCCCATCGGCTCCACAGGAAGTGGGCGACCTCGTCCCCCTCCTCCTCCTCCTCCTGCTCCTCCTTCTCCTGCTCCTCGTCCTCCCCCTCCTCCTCCTCCTCCTCCTCCTCCCCCTCCTCCTCCTCCTCCTCCCCCTCCTCCTCCTCCTCCTCCTCCTCCTCCTCCTCCTCCTCCTCCTCCTCCTCGTCCCCGCTCCTCCCACCAGACTCGTGGGCACGGACGCCCACCTTTGACCCCCCCCTGGGGGAGTCCGCGAGTCACCAGACTACGAGGGCGATTCGCGCGAAGAGTTGCTGCCAAATCCAAGCGCCCAGGCCATCTCTGAGCATCTCCGCGCCGAACCCGCCGTGGCAGGGGGGCGTCGATGGCAACACGGGGGGCGCCCAGGCGCAGCGGGAGTAGCTCGAGGGGAGGAGGCGGGCATGAGCACGAACTGAACGCGTCCCGAACCGCCGCCAGGCCCATGCTGAAGGGGCCTCGATGAGCTCCACATCTCCCCGAGGTGACGACAACCGAGGGAATTTTGCATTCATGCACACGGCGCGGCGCTCTGCTCCTTTCTTGGGCTTGACCTTCTCACCAGCATTGGTTATGGGTGAGTCGCCCGCTTCCATGGGGAAAGATGCCTTGCGAAGCTCCAGCTGCGCAACAGGAAGTTCCGTGAGCATTGGCGGCTGTTGCGGAGGTGTTTGCTGCGAGGCACGGGTAGCTCCGCCAGTGGGTATTTCCGCCATTCGCGATGCCCAGAAAATATTGCACACGCTCAAGGTGAGTGCAAGAACATCGGACAGACTTTCGTCTGACTCCTTGGGCGCGTCGACTTGAGCAAGAGATTAGAGTCCTTGAGCCGCCTTCGGAATGGGCAGGCTCATCCGGTTGTCAGCTTGGTCAGTGACATTGCGGTTCTTGCAGCCGGCAGCGCGGAGGACT